TGCCTGGCAATTACAAAAGAACATCGACTCGGAAGAGTTGGTTACAAGAAGACAGAAATACTTACACAGACAGAAAAAGGAAAATTGTGCATCCCTTAAAAAACAAAAGCAACCAAGCGTAACATTTTATGATAGTGTGGAGTCTAAATCTGCAGTTAAAAAATCTAAAGTCAACAGAGGTCCAAAGAATACGAAGCCTATCGTTTTGGATGATGACAAGAATCTCGAGAAAGGAAATAGCGTCGAACCTAAGTCCGCGCCTAAAAAACGCAGGTCCACGAGGACTCGAAAGCAAAAGCAGCGTGTTATTTTTGACGATAACGAGGACCTCAAAGATCCTTACGCTAACGACGACGAGGGAGAAGATGATGCAGCTTGCATATACTGCAATGCACTGTTTAGTCAATCTAGGCCAAAAGAACATTGGGTGAAGTATCAACTGTGTTTCATTTAGTAAGGATTCCGAAATGGTATAGTAATGGTAACACTTGGTAAATTGTAGCTGTAATCGTGGACAATTTTTTTTCTTAAACCCGGTTTTAAAAAAATCTTGTTTAAAAATTATTCTAATGTGCCCACGGATTTTCTCAGTGAAATATTGAGTAGTGGTTCTTCTAGAAGAAAAACTTTATCGTGATCCCTGAGCCTAATATTAGCTCACGTCCACCAAATCACTGTTATGAAGAAGAAGAATAAGCTCCGTACGGGCATCGCTATCCCGAGAATATATTATAGAGTGCACATTATCAATATTTTGTAGAAATATTCGAAATTTATCTAATTTATTAATCTCTTACAGGTTGGTACCATGGCCGTGTACATCGGAGTTCATCCGTAAGTACGTGGTTGTCACAAGATTCTAGCTTAAGTAAGGCGAAGGAATCATTTTCACGGTCCTCAGCAAATTACTCATTATTTTTCTTATTGCTTTTTATAGAAATGTAGAATGGGCCATGCACCTAATACTAGTCCGTAGAAGTGTAGAAAAATTAAATATTAAATTAAAACCCGTAAAATAAAAAAGTGAAATTTTCAAACAAAATAAATATTAAAATAAATTCAGTAAAAGTGAACACTCTGTTTAGACAACGTACCTTGACCCCTTGCGCCTTGGAAGAGTGACGCGGGTGGCACGCCGACAAAAGACACCGCTGTCGATATGTCGCAATACCAATAGTTTGCACTGCGTGGCAACGTCGCTTTTTAATGTTCAAGGATTCAAGTTCATTGAATCATTGACTTAGTGACCCAATTCTATGAGTGTTCAAATCTGCTTAAAATTAAAACTCCACTTTTTGGCCTAATTACTGGACTGATTACGTTCATTTTTTTAATATCGTCAGCAAAGGCGATAAGTATGTGGTTTTATTTATTGCATATATGTGGGACCCATTCTGTGTATATATATATATATAACAGACAAAAATTTCAAAAACCACTAATTTAGTTTCAGTGCCCTTGATTTAGTCCCCTGGATTTGTTTTTTCCAGAAAATATTATAATTATGTACACGACTGTGTGTGATACGAATGTATAATAAATCTCTAAGAAAGAGATTTATTATAGCAAAGATTCATGTCCTAGTAACACTATTCACTGGCTCTCTGTCGACATAGTCAACGTACAATATTATAACAACAAATTACTGATGAAATTTATTCATTTGTGGTCGTGATGAGGTTAAAAAAATCATGCCTTTTTTGTTATTTTTTAGAACGTCAATAAGGTTAAAAACGTGATAGAGCCACGCTGCCGATATGTAGGGAGTAGCAAGAATGCGTCCGCTTGACAGGACCACGCTCTCACAGAATACCAGCGTAAAATAGCATCTTAATGGTGCTGTGTTTTATATGTTGAGTGTAGAGAATCGGGTCCTTTTTTATTAAAAACGAGGCAATGAATCTTATTCCTAGGAGGTGACTACGCATCTGGATTTAATTCTCAATCGAGGATAAATGTAGATGTCTATGAGCCACAGCATCTACTTATATATGTATATATACGACTTTCAATATTTTCTTATCTTAAAATTGAAACAAATACTGAAAGATCATGTTCTACATTATTATCTTATTTGATCACTTAATCTCGTGCTCGTGATAATGTTCGACACAATAATGTAATCCACATGGATGTATTTATTTTGGCGTGAATGTAATAGAATAGAATAATTTTACTATAATATAGAGAACAAAATACTTATTGAAAGTATTTTATACGTGGTAGAGCCATGCTGCAGTTATATTAGTAGTTAGTAGTATAGTTGTAGCACGAATAGGTCGGCTCGACCGGGGAAGTGCCACGCTCTCACAGAATACCAGCGTAAAATAGTAGCTTAATGCTGCGGTGTTTTGTATAATGTGTGTAGAACCGGAGACCCCTTTTACTGGAAACGAGGCATTCTATCTTAGTCACGGGTGACAACGCATCTGCATTTTAATTTGTAATCGGATAGATGTAGATGTCTATGGGCCGCAGCAACCACTTACCATCAGGTGGACTGTATGCTCGTTTGTCACCCTATCCTATAGAAAAAGTAATTTTATACTTTTACTACTGGTTGGGAAAAAAACTCTGTCCGTAAAAGAACCACCAGAAACCCAGCAAAGCATTTTTTATGGTCTAAACCAGCCAAGATGAAACCATCATCATAATATTTTTAATTAATTATTTATTATTACGTTATAACACTGTATAGGTACGAAAGTATCGCTTTAAAATAACATTACTTACTAAAATAGCGGTATCAATGTCTAGGTTATCTATATCTATACCTACATATGAATAAAATTGAAGTGCCTGTCTGTAATTTTGAAGTAACTAGCTTCTATTTATCTCAAGTGGTTATTTGCATGCTCACAAGACAAATATTTTTGACGTGACAACGTTTAGTAGATCTATGAACGCCGACTGCACGCACGAAAAAAGATGACTCATTGTAACGTTACGCTTATTGTAACGATACAATCGGAGCGAGAGCGCTGCACGAGCGAGCGAAAGACAAGATCGGCTTGAGCGTTCGGCTTGCGCCGCATCTATCTTTCTTCTACAAAGTACGCAATCATTTCATCAATGTTTTGTTATGACGTTGTCACGTTAAACTATCATAAATGTAAATCGACTTTACAGTACAGGCAACCAATTTTTTTTAATTCTGTGTCTTTCTATCCCTCTTCGTGTCAGTCTGTCCGTATTGGCTAATCTTCGGAATGGCTATGCTGATTATGATGAAACTTTACGAGAGCCAGGAGCAATCTAGGTAATATTTTATCCGAACACTTCACACAGTCAATCTATATATTTAAAACGTATAAGATGTTTAACATTGAAAATGGTCACTATAAAATGTTGTTAGGTTAGCTAATTACGTAATAACTTAAAACAGAAGGTCCCTTAAGTAGGGACTGAATAAATTAACCGACTTGTTATTGGATCTCACAATTTTTTAAGTTAGGAGACCTAAGTTGCGAGACTTGGTTTTTTTACAAGTTATGATTTTGATGGCATTTTGCTTTTCTTAATGGTACTAATATTTTGAAAATGTCAATTGAAGAACTGCAAAATTATGGAGCAGATCTGGCTCGAAAAACGAGCGAGATTAAATTCTGCCAGGAACTCTACGTTTTTAAAACGCAAGCTCCGCTTTTAATTGGTGATATAGAAAAGGCTAACGGTTTCTATCTCTTGTAACAGATCTATGCGTATGATTTGCAGGATGCTTTTCCTAATATATGTATTGCCCTGCAAATTTATTCTACGCTTCCTACTACATTCGCAAGCTGTGAGCGAAGTTTTACTTTTAGCAAACTAAAACTAATTAAAAATTATTTGCGATCTTCTTTGAGCCAGGAACGCTTATCGAGTCTTGCAATATTAGCGATAGAAAATCGAATTGCACACGAGTTAAATTATGACAAGGCCATAGATTAATTTGCTGAACAAAAATCTCGAAGAGTAAAATTGTAATTTCAATTAACAAATGCAATAACACATTTGATTTTGATTTTTATTATACATATTTTCATTTAAATCCTATCTTGTGCTGTATATAAAATATATACCCTACACGTTCATGTCTATATATCTGTAAATAAATAGGCTTAACACAGAAAGAACAGCGATGGATGCATTATTTCCGGAAGGCCTACTCGTATGTCCAAATATCAATCAATTAGTGGACATCTGATAGCCGAAATTATAAAGATGATAAAGGTAAAAATAAATATAAGTGGGCGGGGCGGCATTTCGCAGTTTTTACCCCGCCTTAGGCGTTTTAACAAAATTGAATTTTTTTTAAAATTTTGTTTAACAAAATTGAATATCCGGGGCTGATTACCTGCTACTACCTGTACTCCCACGCTTTACATATAAAGCGTTCTATGGATGGCTTCCTATTTTCAGTGAACTTTGATAGGCTGTAACGGTAACCTAAATTGACTCGATGTAAGTAATTCTCCAGCTTAGAGAGGTATCAGAAAAAAAATAAAATGACGAGATTGTTCTTCTGTCTTATTTCAACTGCTTATTTCGTATAATTGTTAACTGTGCGGAATATTATACTACACTAAAACTGTTAGAGACTGTTAAAGAATAGCGGTGTTCTGTGACCAGTGCATATGGACATTCACTCCTCCTGACCTACCTGAATCAAAAATGAAAAAAGAAATTCCGAAATTCCGTGTTGAGCCATTATTGTTATAGGGAAATTCATTTCATCTTGCGTCAGTATAATAAATGACTTAAGTTTGCTCTTCCACTGATAGCGAGCATTGATAAGACTAATTCTAAAGACATTTAAATTTATCATTATTGAATCGCGAATGACGGCTAAAACGTTCTTTGGCTATGAAAATGAAATTTAAATTCAGTATTTAATTTCATATACTCATGCAGTTTTGTGCCAAAAGGCAGTCATCTTTTTTGTTTTAAAAAATGCAGTGGAGATGGGTGATAGCGGTTATGATATTTTCTAGTAATTGTGTGAATGAAGTAATTGTGTGATGCGGGTAAACCTTAGTGTCAACTTGGTGGCCATGGTACCAGTGACCAATCACACTGAATCTGTGAGTATGTACACATTATATTTGTAATGCTTAAGATATATTTCATGCAAGTGAGATGAGCATAACCAAGTAATTTTATGCTCACCTGTATACTGTATAGTAAAGTAAAAAGTAAAGTTACAGCCTATATACGTCTCACCGCTGGGCACAGGCCTCCCCTCACTTCCGAGAGGGTTTTAGGGCAAGGAAATGTCCGCCACGCTACCCCAATGCGTGTTGGCAAACTTCACATGTCTTCGAAATATTTTTTTCTTATTCCTCAGACATGCAGGTTCCCTCACGATGTTTTCCTTCACCGCCGAGCACGTAGTAAATCAGCACTTAAAATTGCAATTAACAATTTCATTGGTGCCGGTGGCGATCGAACCCGGGTTACTCGCGTTCTGTTATATTTACAGCGAGCGTTAACCATCTGAGCTACCACGTCTCTGCTGCAGCATATTGTAAACGCAATAAAACCTGTTATCATCATCATCATCATCATTACAGCTGCTCATAGGTACGCTGCCGAACGTCTTCCCTCAAGTTACGCAACAAAGCACGGTCCTAACCCACCTGCAGCCATTGACTTCCTGCACAACTTACTAGGTCGTCACTCCACCATGTGGTGGCCGCCCTACACTTCAGTTACCGGTTGCTACCACTTGAGAACTTCCTTTTCCCCATTCGTTGTTCGAGCTATATGACCGGCCCATTGCCACTTCAGCTTACTAATCCGTTGCGCTATGTCGGTCACTCTGGTTCTACTGCGGATATCCTCATTTCTAAGTCTATCACGCAAAGAAACCCCAAGCATAGCCATCAGCATAGCTTGCTAAGCGAACTTGAGCTCCCTTATAAGGTGATCAGCGAAGGACCACGTCTCAGATTCATATATCATCACTGCAAACACGTCGATCTTTCGACTTTTAAGATAAACGTGACGAGAAGATAAGAAAAAACACTTTAATCTAAGTTTATGCTATTATCTCGAAAACTATGTGCAATATATTTAAATGCTTAAAATAAATATTGAAGATCTATAAAAAAGTCATAACACCTTAGGGAGTCCCCACATTTATCGACGCTGAATCGGCTTAAGCCGAGTGCGTACCCTACTCGGCTTAGCGCCGATCAGCTGTTGCGACGGCTATTCACAAGCGATCGGAAGTCAACTGCTTCGAAACTTCGTCCCGACGGCTGTTCACTTGCATTCGATAGTCGATTTCCAAGGACGACCGTCGCGACGTTTGTTCTCTCGGCTGTTCACTTGTATTCGGTAGTTGATTTCCGAGAACGACCGTCGCGACATTCTTACGTTCGACAGTCGACTCCTCCGAACGAACTATTTACGTTCGTACGGCAGTCGACTCATCATTTATCTTTCAGCTGTCATCCAACGCCGTTCGGACGTCTTCTACGCCATCGGTGATGAAATCATGCGAGCGGGTCATTTAAACGCCGTACGGCCATCTCCGGCGCCGTCGAAGTTAAACACGTCGTCGCAACCTTTCGGCTACTTTCAGCACCGTACGGATGCGATCAGCTAATTGGCAAACCACTCGATTAGCTGATGAGAATGGCATTCACGTATTTCGTAGACATAATGGTTTTCCTGAACGGCTGAAGCCAATTCCACCATGAAATATGGGTACCCCCTTACTGTTTAATACTTACAGTTTTGTTGTCAAATATTGTTGAAATAAAAAAAATCGATTTCGCATCCATACTTTAAGAGATAAGAGATAGTGTTTTTCCTTTAAGATTGCAAACGAAAAAAAAGTTTGTTAATTTTTTTTAAATTATTTAAGTTTATGATGTTCACATGTACACATTCATCAAAAACTTTTTTAATATATCAGTTTACGGATTTTACAAAAATATCCTACATGTTTTAAATAAGAAATCTTGATCACTTCTTGCATTGCTTGTGCTTTTGTTTATGATGTTTCATCACACTTCGGTTCAACCATATCTAAGAATAGACCGAACCGAGAATGAGATTAGATTTTTAAAAATCTAAATCAAAAAAATTTTAATGAATACTATGACGAAGGTACAAAGAAACAGCCCTCAGTCCCCGACGGTACTGATTTTCCGATTGCGATTATGGTAACGGCGGGGCAGGGGGTGCAAACAATCTCTGGTGGTGGTACGGTTGCCACCTTACACGACTCGACCTGGTAACATTTAACGTACACACCCTAAGGAATGACGAAATGACCTTGGAGCTGGAAGAAGAGGTAGGCAATTTGCTCTGGGGTATTATAGGATTATTTGTGGTCCAAAGAGAGGAGGAGGACACGGTAATCCTCGGATTTTGACTTGTTCTATCTCTGGGAGGGCAGTATTATTTTCCAAGGAGGTTTCGGATTTATCGTTTACAAGTCTCTCGTTAACAAGGTTGTAAAGATTGGGAGTATGTCTACTGTCTACATAGGTTGCGTACCTTTTACTTAGAAACTGTATATGTACCAAAATGAAGCGATTTAGAAGCGTAGGGAAGATTTTATATCTAGTTTTCTCACTTTAACAGAAATCTAGTGTGTATTTCTCTACAAAATCAAAGTAGCATCAATGCCAAATAGTATACTTACTACCAAATCATAGCCAGAAGCATTCTCTGCTGTGAGCAACAAGCGAACGGACAAGGGGATCCGCAGGCTTCACTGTGACATCGCGACCGCTCGCTCGGCGCTCAAATCGAGGGACCCTGGGTTACACTGGGTTTTGCTGGAAACGAGGCATTCCACCTTAGTCCTCAGGGGTGAAAACGCATGAGCCTTTTTATTCTAAATCGAGTATAAATGTAGTTGACTATGGGCCCACAGCGTTCACTTACCATCAGATGGAGTGTGTGCTCGATTGTCGCCCTTATTCTATAAAAATACACTCGTTTAAAGCGTTTAGGTTACCCTCCTTGCAATCCTAATTTGGCACCTTGTGACCTCTTTTTAGTCCCCAAAATAAAAATATCTACTGAAAGTGACAGTTTTCATAGGCGTAAGATGCGCTAGGAGCGACCTAGTGTTCGCCAGGCCATAGAAGAGGTGTATTCAGAAAAAGTATGAAACTTTGTTTAAATGTTGGTGGTGAGTTTTTATGATAAAAACATTAGAACTTTTTTATATTTGCAAAACTTTTTGAGTGGTCCAATTATGTTTTGATTTATTAAATTCTTGTTATAGTTATGTATTTTCGAAACTGTTTAACAATTTTATAACAAATTATAGGTTTCACAAGTGGTGCTGGACTGGACGCCATACCAGCGCGCCTATGTACTTAGTGGCTACTTCTGGGGTTACTTAGTGGGGAATTTATTTGGCGGACCACTGGCAACTGAACTTTGGGGTTCACGTCGAGTGATTTTCAGCACCACTCTATTCAGCGCCATACTAACGCTACTTAGCCCTGCAGCTGCCAAGCATAGTTTTAGTATGATGTTAGCACTAAGGGTTATTCTCGGGTTCTCCGGAGTAAGCATATTTTTAATGATTTCCCTGAATATACCTGTTTTAAGCACTAAGATAAAAGTAACAATTAAAATCTCTCTTAACTACTACATAACCGTATCATTTTAACTAAACACTTCATAAAAAAACACGCATTAACAACTTAATAATTTATGTTAATTTAAACCAAATAGGACTGATGAAATACGATTAAAATTAAAACCATTTAAAAAGAAATGCTTAAATGTTCTTAGAATTATGTATTAATTTAACATTCAATTTTAATCTCAGTCTCAGACCAACAAAGAAACATCAACGGAGCGATACACGTACATCACAGAGTACATTGTATATATAAGGAAGCGTACATTTCAGCAATGCCAAATCTATGCTCAACTTCTTGACACGCACTCATGCACACATCTTTTTCGTAATAGTTCACTGTCGGACGCATACAAATAAATATACAATACGCTAGTAATATACAGGATGTTAGTGTAAACACCGTTATCCTTGAAACCAGTGGTTTGGTTTCACCTATAGAACGTAAATTCAATGAATTTAAAAAAGACGCTATTTTCTTCCAAAAAATTAAAAAAGTTTCTGTCCGACATCGTCCGTAAATTCATGGATACCCTATGCGCCCGAGTGATGTAATCACTGTAAAGATCACCGCCCGCGCTAGCTAGGTACCTATAGAACATTCCAATAAAAACACAATAGGTACACATAACCTGTGATGTAACTTTTCCTTCATGCTTTTATCCTGGCTTAGGACAGACAAAAATTGAGGAATTAAGGAAAAATTGAGATTTCACTAAAAAAATGTTGTTATTTTTCATTGAATTTACGTTCTATAAGTGAAACCAAACCACTGGTTTCAACGACAACGGTGTTTACACTAACAACCTGTATAAGTCAATGATATACAATAATTTTGTGTAACTACGTGAGTGCGCGTTGTTACAATAAATTGAGTATGGTTTTGGCTTGGTTTTTGTCACTTCAAATGTTCGTAGCGCTCCATTTTCTTTCTTTGTTTGTGTGAAATTTTATTATTAAGTATTTTCTTTTTCAAAATTTTTGGTATTAATTTAGTAACGATTTAAAATAAATAAGTTACCAATTAGCTATGCTGTCTTCTGTGTCATGAAAATACATATATAAACAGAGTTTTGTGACAATAACTCACAATTTTTTCTGATCACGCTCATTGTTTTTCAGGGATTTTTATTTCCTGCAAGCTATTCATTAATAGCCCATTGGGCAGTTCCCATTGATAGAGGAAAGTTTGTCGGAGCTTTGATCGGAGGTTCCATCGGTACCTTTATTACATGGTCACTTTGTGGATTGTTAATTGAATCTCTTGGATGGGAGTGGGGTTTTTACGCATTTGGAATTTTCGCGTTATTATGGACAATAATTTGGTGGTTTTTAGTATACGATTGCCCAGAAATACATCCGCTAATTTCGGCATCTGAGAAGGAATACATTTGCGATGGCATTAAAATAGCGAAAAAGGGAAATGTAAGTAAGAATTTATTCTTAAATTTTATTAAGGTATCTGCCTATGTCGATCTCGCAGTAATTAAAGTTAGTACCCCAGAAGGAGGGTAATATTTTTTTATGAATGTATATCGTCTTTTATGGGGCTGACATAGGGTTTAACTTTAATGCCTTAGTTATTGTTTTGAAGGGTTTGATAAACACATCTGACAAATGTCATGACGTTTTGGTAACCAGCTGATTTAAACCACGGTGACAAGTTAGATAAGGGGTTATCAATTAATTACGTGAACTCGAAACAGGGAGTCCAGCAAAATCTTATTTAAAAGGGCTATTACAAAAAAAGCGAAATTGCAAGGTTTCTTCACCTAAATTGTGTTTTTCGTTCGCTGCTTGAAATAACAATTGCTTGTTAAAGAATAGTTTGTTTTCTCTTCTACAATAATAATAAAGCGAATTTTAGATAACTTATTTATTTATTTAGTATCAATCATTTTCCTGATGCATGTTTAGGCAAAAACTCACAAAGACCTGATTTAATTTGTAGATTCCATAGAATCTACAAATTAGAGCTCTAATTTGTAGATTCTATGGAATATAGGCAATCAAAATATTTCTTTTCATCTTGCAAATATAACTATACCTACTTTTATTATAATAGAATACATTTTCGTTACATACTTTTTATGTAAAGAAAAAAGCTGGATCAAATTCAACTATCGACCGAAAAAGCTTTGAAACAAGCCCCAATATCTCTAAAGTTCTACACAGTGGCGGCGCTAGATCTCGCATGGACGTCGGCGAAACTAGGTTCGCGAGGCCTCCTTTTTTCCCAATTAAGAAAATATTAAATTACGTAAGCCGAATTGTAGTTAAAATAATATAATCAACAAATTTTATTGAACATTTTATTGTTATTAATCAAGTTTTATTGCTTATCAAATGATGACAAAACTGACATAAATAGAAGTTAAACGAACTTTTCGGCTTTTGGCCCCACTGAACTTTTTCAGGATTACATCATAGCTAATACCAGACGCTATTTCAGCTTCAATTGATAGAACTGCTAACGAAGATAAAGGAGCTCCCTTGACTCATCGCGCTTCTCAAGTAGGTTTTAATCAATTTTAACTTTGAGAAGCTTCTCTCAGCGGAAGCTGTAATGACGGGAACTGTTAGCATGATTCTAATTGCTACAAAAACATTTGGATATATTTCTTCCAAATTATTCTCTAAAATGTATTGAATGAGTTGTTTCGCGTCGTTGATAGAGTCTAGTGAATTTATTTTACAAGTTGGAGTTCTTCTTACAGTTCGAAAGGCTGTATGTCGCTGTTTTCGCCTTCTCGAAATATTGTACCTAAATCATTACAGCACATGAGAAGGTCTTCTTTTGATATAGAATTTTAACATCTGATATCATAAATAAAACCAAATCGTTCAAATTATTCATTGAGCCATTTTAATCGACATTCGGTATCAACTATAATAGCATCAATCATTTGTGTTAAAAAAGTTAACTCTGTACTGCATTTCAGAAGATTGAATAGGTTCATCAGTATGTTCATAATCGAACATTCGTTTTCTCCTGGCTGTTCATTTTTCTTTAAAATGGGTCTCAATTTCGAAAGTACTCTACAAATAATCGAGCTTGTGCGACACTATTGTCAAATCCTGTATTACGGAATTCTTGAATCCAGCTGCAAAATGACCGTAAAGTATCAATAGCGACTTTCAAGTTGACTTGAACCATTTGCCATAGTTTGCTTACATTGTTCACACGTAGTAAAACCTCGTACCATACGTGTATCACAACAACAAACTCAAAAGTTAACATTTCATTCAAGACTGTGTCACAGTCGCTTAGAAAACTCTAATCATCACTTTCATTTTTCAGGTCATTCACGCATTCGATAACATCATCAAATTGCAAAAATATTGCTTTTACTGCTCCGATTCTACGCTCCCATCGTGTTTCAGATAGAGTTTTTAATGTCAATTTTAATTTCGTTTTCACAATATCCCAACGCTTATTTGACTTTGAAAACAGCACATAGATTTTATTGATGAAGCCAAAAAACGTTTTGGCTGTTGTAGAAGAGTTAGCTACATCCATCAAAAGAAAATTCCAACTGTGACATCCGCACGGCGTAAAGAATACTCTTGGGTTTATATTAAGTATTCTTGTTCTGATACCTTTATGAATACCGACCATATTGGTGCCGTTGTCATATCCCTGTCCTCGACAGTTTTGGATATCTAGACCATTTCTTTCCAGTTCTTGTAGTATGGAATTTGTTAAATATTCTCCCGTTTTTTCTGTGACGGCAATAAACCCAACAAAATGTTCCTCTATTACTCCAGTTGAAGAATTGCAAAATCTTAATATTATTGACATTTGTTCAACGCGGCTGACATCCCCGGTACAGTCGAGCAAGATGGCACAGTATTTTGCTTGTTTAACTCTGTGTATGATTTCTTCAATAACTGATTTAGACATTAATGCAATTAATTCATTTTGGACGTCGTGGCTCAGATAATGTTGAGTTAGTTGCTTTTCATTAATACGTTGCATGTGCCCCCGTAGTTTGGATAACAACTTAAATAAATCTATAAAATTGCCACTGTTTTTGCTATCGTTCAATTTAAAGGATTCTCCATGAGCTCTAAATGCCAAATTGTGTGACGCTAGGTAGTTTATGATATCAATCATTCTTTCAAACAAATTATACCAGTACTTTGGCGATTCTTTAATAGATCTCTCATTATCTTTATCTATTTTTTTCCGTGTTTGATTCCTTTATAGAATTCCATCCATTTAATCATGCATACCATGTGTCCTTGACTTTGTTCATGTCTTTGCAATATCCAACTCAAATCTTTCCAGTCACAACATCCTTCGTTTACCATCTGTGTCTGCAAATTTGAAGTCTACATGGAAAGCAATAAACTTTATCTTGAAAAATGGAGTAAACTAACCATCGGCGATGTAGCGTTTCGCCGTTACTTAATTTTCGGTGTGAATGAAATTTAGAAAAATGTCTTTTATTTGCGTCTTTTAGGTAACTGTCATCAGATTTCATAGATCTTGATTGGGTCCGTTTTGAGTTAGGTCATGACGCTGCGAATTGTTTACTGGAAATACCCACTTTTTTGGATCTAAGTCTATAAATGACTCTCTTAAATGAACTCCTTCCACTTGATTTTCTGAGTCACACAACGTTTTACTTTGTAACTTTATATTGGGTTCCGACATTTGGATCATAGTAGGTTCGCTCGATTTTGCAGGTAAAACTGTATCAGAATTTCCAAAAAAAAGATTCATTTGACTCTGATACTGGCTTAGAAACTAAAGTTTCATCAGATGACTCTGAAGCAGTGACACTCGAAGAAGGTTTCTTGAGAAACTTCAACATGCTGGAACTTAGAGCTTGGTTGGATATAACAGCTTCAACCTTTCTTTTTCTTTTTAATGCTCCGGATTCCCATTTCCTCCCTTTATCTCTGTCTCTACTTGGTCCTCCAGACATGATGACCTAAAAATAAAAAATAAAACATTGAAATTAAATAATTATTTAATTCGATACCAACTTTTAAATAGGCCCAGTATCGTTAAAGTTAATAATAATGCGATACGAGATCTATCGATCTGTAGTTCGATGTTTTTTGTGCAGCAGATTATAAAAAAACTATAAATACGTACGCCAATGCTTTTAATAGAAAACTGATTAAAATTATTTATTTACGTTATTTTGTACTCAAACAACACTAGATTCGAATGCCAAAGTATAAAGACGGCAAGTAAGTTATCTTCATACAAACGAACCACGCGCGGTATGTGTGCGCCGTAGTACCTATGAATCGCCGCACGCACACTTAACAAAATCTCGACTCAATTCGAGGTGCGCCAGTCGGGGCTAACATTGCACGAGATTCGCGCGTCACGGCTTTTCAGCACCGCTAAATGAATGAAAAATGTGTGATAATCGCAGGAGAACGTATTGTGTGATTCAATAGACATGTTTGCATTATTTGTGTTTTTATTAATTAAAAATAAATACTTAATGGTCATTTATGTGTAAAAAAAACACATTATTGCCGATTAAAAAAAAAACAAAAAAAAAAGATTAGTATACAACGTGTAACATAATTAACGCTAACCTCTCATGGATATAAATACAACTTCCTGACCCTTACCAATTTATAGGTACTGATTTAAAATATAGCTAATAGTCACAACCCTAAGACAGTAGGCAATTGTATCGCGGATTGGGCCGGAGATAGCCTACTTCCCCTATTTATACTATGCTAGCGCGGAGTTCTTTTAATACAAAGTAATCTAGATCTACGCGCAACAATAGAAAAACTCGATAAAAATAATAAAAAAAATTTTGAAAATTTTGAGGGTAATATTTTTATAAACATGTGCGTGCTTATAAACATACTCGAACCGCTAAAGATTTTAGTTCTCGAAAAAAAAATACACTAGCACAGTTTGAATTTAAAAACTACAAAAACTATCCACTTTTTAAAATTTCGATAGCCATAAAGAAATACAATGCAATTAAGACTTATAAAAGATAGGAACCTATTGATGTTGACAAATACTTTACGTTAAAGTTGTTATAGAAGTTCATATTGACTTACCTTATCTTATAACCTTCGAAGTATGAACGAAATCACAATATAAGTTAACACTTTTATCCACAAAATTACCACCGTGGTACTGACTGACTTTACAACACAATAAAAAGAAATTTTGTCCATGCGAGACTAGACTGCGAGTGCTTGCGTTGCATTCACAAAAGGAATGATTGTTTACGTTTCGCTCGCAGAAGAAATACAAAAACGACACGGGCATTCCCCGTCTCGCGCACGAAGATGTTAAACTTTCAGTGTTGCCAGACGATTCTGCCCGTAAAGTGCTCATCGCAAAAAACGAGTAACACACTCACTTAAATCGCGCAAGTGTATGATATTAAAATAAATAATAATGAATAACTAAATTTTAAATAATAAAAAAAGTTTTGCGAGGCCCCCTCAAGTGCGAGGCCGTCGGCGGTCGCCGACGTCGCCGACGCCTAGCGCCGCCACTGGTTCTACATCATTTTGAAGTAATATTTAAACCAAAATAATCTTCAGCGTTTGCGTAAACTATACCATTATTTTGACTTTTTAAATTATTAATTTTTTTTATCAATAAAATAAAAGTACCAGTAGCCTAACGGCAGGGCGCAGAATGCAAACTCAAAACGTCGTAGGTTCGAATCCGCCATTTGACTATGGTTGCGCGGAAAACCATTCGTATTTGTTTTATTTGACGGTAGGCTGCCAAATCGGTTATCCCTTTCCAAAACGATATCATTCGTACCCTCCTATCGACACATCGGGGTGGTGGGGTGGGAGGGGAAAGAAGATGATTCTAGAACATCACGTAATCATCGGAACCGAGGATATATAAGACACGCGCGACCGACGCGTGGCCTCTTCCCGCCGGGCTCGCCGTTGAAACCACACCGATTCTCTCCCGACGTATCTCTGGGGCCCCAGAGTGTCTGTCCAGAGGAGGTTCCAGAAGTCGCAGTTATAGTGCTCGACCGCATAGAAGAAATATACCGGTGAGTCAATATCCAATATTATAACCTGCTTGATATAATCGTTTTAACCCGCTCCAATTTTGTGTTTTCCTAATCAAGCAGGATTCCTTTCATCGATTTGGCAAATAATAGTTCGTTTTTTTTTTTGGGAAGAGCGGGTGCATTGTACCGCATATATAAGTGTAGAATCATTTTGTAGATACAGTCCACTTAGATTAATATCTCGCGTAATAGGTTTAAGGTTCGACCGGGGAACTAGACTTCGGCAGCCTTAAACAAGTGGCTCCACCATTTTATGGTCCTTCGAGCCGGATTTGGACTGGTGTTTAGTGGTACTCCAACCATTTTCTGGTCGAATTATTAAATTAATTATTTAGATAATGCACTCTAATCTATGGAATAGACTTAAATAGTGTTCGTTTAAATTTAAATTTTGATTAGGTACTCGCAAACAGAATTATTTATTTTATGGCGCTCGTATTTGGTTAAATTTAAAGCTTATTAAATAATTGAAACAGTGTAATAGCAACCGTGTGGTACGCTTACCCGATAATTTGATAAAAATATTAAGTTACCGCAACGAGCAACGCGTCGCCTCGACTGTAGCAGGTGTTCGATTTAATTACGTAATACGGCATACCGAGTGTCCATCGTCCATCGTTGTGCGTTGTGAGATTAATTGTGATTAATAACTTTGTTATAATAATTTAAAATGGCAGTTAGTGAAAGTGAATTTAAAATTAAAACGCTTTATGCCAAGAGGGACGTACTTTTTTCACGTATACAAAACATTAGCGATCATATAAAGAACATTAATGTAGAAGCGGTGCGGGAAACTTTTCTGAATGAAATTGAAACGGTGGATTCCTTGCGGACGGATTACGAAAGAATATTAGACCAAATTAATAATTTGGAATTACAAATCGACCCGAAATACATAGTGAACTACCAACCGCTGCTGGCATTCGAAGATATGTTGCGTCGCGTGAAAAGAACGGCAAAACTCCTACAATCTCAAAGCGAAGCAAAGCCGGAATTGCAGGTACGTCCTCGTGACTCAATTAGGTTGCCGTCAATAGATATTCCGGTATTCAATGGTGATATTAAGACGTGGCCCTTCTTCTTCAGTAGTTTTCAAAACAATATACACAATAACCCATCGTTATCGGACGCTGAAAAATTATATTACTTAATTAGTAAACTTAGTGGCAGGGCACAGTCGATCTGCTCTGGTTTTACACCTACAGCAAACAATTAGTTATTAATATTCGAAACTCTTAAAACTAAATATGAAGATAGGAGAATGTTAGCTTCCGAATATTTGAACCAGATATTCGATCTTAAACCTATATCATCCGCGAACAGCAACGGCTTAGAGCAGTTTCTAGATAAATTTGTGGCATCGGTGGCTGCACTTAAGAATTTAAAATTTAATGACCTTATGGACGTGGTGTTTCTCCATATTGCACTAAAGAAATTAAACCCCGACACCGTGCGTGCGTTTGAAATGGAGCATCGTAGCTCGGAGATGCCTTCCTTTCATTCATTAGCATCGTTCGTGCGAGATCAAATAAAGGTGATGCAGCGCTCTCCGAACGTTAAACAGGAGATTAAAAGGTGCGTCGACCGTAGACAGACTCAACCATCTAAAATAGCAGGGTCGTTAACGTACGTAACCGCTACGTCAACATCACTTCAGCATACTTGTATCGTATGTAAAGATAAACACGGTAATATATATAATTGTGCGACTTTTCGTAAATATTCACCAAGCGAACGTTATAGATTAGTAAAGACAAACAACCTATGTTTGAACTGCTTAAGCGATAAGCATTTAGTTGCAAAATGCAATTCGAGTTCCGTATGTAGCTAGTGCGCCAGGAAACATCACACGCTATTACATTTTGAAAATAGCAACATAGCGGCGTCAAGTAAAGCGGATAAGGAATTCACCCCTACTAAGGTCAACGATTCTAGCGGTCGACCTGGTGATGTCGCTCTGTGCTCATTGGCAAATATGGGAGCACAACCTCCTTCAACCGTGTTACTGGGTACGGCGCGTATTTTGGTTAAGGATTCGCGTGGGAATGAACAAAGCGTTCGTGCACTGCTGGACAGCGGAGCCCAAAATAGCTTTATAACACGACAATGTTGTCAGCGCTTAGGCTTAGTAATAAATAGGAAACTTTCATGTCCTGTAGTTAAAGGCATCGGAGGTACTAGTAAAGCTACCCAGGGATATATTAATTTAAAATTTTATTCTCGGATAGATCGTAATGTTAACTTTGATATAAATGCACTAGTAGTAGATAGGGTCACTGAACGGTTGCCAACCGTTTCGGTTGACACCTCGGCAGTGATTGAGTTTAAAAATTTGACTCTAGCGGACGACACTTACGCCGTTCCTGGAAACATAGACATGCTCATTGGAGCATCGCTTTTCCCTCATCTTTTGTTAAACAATAAGGTCAGGGGCAACTCCTCGCATACCGCGCCTTACGCACTAGAAACCGTATTGGGCTATGTTATCATTGGCTCCGCCCCCACCATAGATAGTATTTCGGCAACCTCTTATTGTGGTATGGCTGTCGAACCGCTCGAGTCGTTAGTCCGCAAATTTTGGGAGATGGAGGAGGTGAACGTCCCACCCATAGCTGGATCAGATGACAGGTTATGCGAGGAAATTTACGTCCGCACGACCGTTCGTGATCGCGACGGTAGACATAGTGTAGCGCTGCCCTTTAAAGGAGATGTTTTATCTCTCGGCGATTCGCGTCAAATGGCGGAAAAACGTTTCTACAGCTTGGAGCGTAGGATGCTCGCTTCACCCCAGTTAAAGGAAGCTTATGACGGCGTCATTAACGAATATATAAGAGAAGGTTACATATCACTCGTGGCTTCGAAATTAGATAACTACGAAGACACACCGTCGTATTTCATACCACACCACGGGGTCATTAGGGAGGACAAACTTACATCAAACTTACGTGTAGTGCTCGACGCTAGTGCTAAAACTAGCACTCACCTGTCGCTTAACGATATCCTCTATAGTGGGCAAAATTTACAGGGCAGTTTATTTAATATAATAGCCAATTTTCGTTTGTTTAGTATAGCACTATCCGCCGATATTCGCCAAATGTTTCTTTGCATAGGGGTCCGTGAATGCGACCGTAGATTCCAACGCATTTTATATCGTTTCAACCCAAAGGAACCTCTAATGGTGTTTGAATTTAACCGCGTTTGTTTTGGTTTAAAAACGAGTCCATTTCATGCGTTACGCACGGTGAAACAGCTCGCCCACGATGAAGGTCCCTCTTACCCTAAAGCTAAGAGGGCAATTGAGAGCGGATTATATATGGATGATTTTGTGTACTCGGTCGATAGCGTGGAGGAGGCCACCCTAACCACCGCCGAGGTTATAAAACTCATGAAATCGGGTCAATTCGATCTTGTGAAGTGGACTAGTAATTCGCGTCCGGTTTTAGATACCATCCCACTATCACACCGTCTTTCGGCGATAAAGGAATTCGACGATTCCGATACACACAAGGTGCTCGGTCTGTGTTGGTCACCAGAGTCCGACGTGTTTAGCCTTAAGGTAAATCCGCCCGTAGAGAAATGCACAAAGCGCACAATACTGTCATGCGTTGCTAGATTATGGGATGTCATGGGTTTCGTAGCTCCAGTGGTATTATACGCTAAGCTTTTGATTAAACAACTTTGGTTATTTGAATGCGATTGGGATGATTCGCCGCCTGACAGCATTGTTCGTTTGTGGCAGCGCTTTAGAGAGGAACTTCCTTTACTAAGAGAAATTAGAATACCGCGTCATATAAACGTCGATAGAAATAGCGTCATAACGGTCGTTGGGTTTGCAGACGCCAGCGAGAAGGCTTACGGGGGCGTTGTATATTTCCACGTTCAGAATAATGGTAGAAATTCGATTAACCTCATTAGTTCTAAGTCGAGAGTCTCCCCCCGTAAGGTTGTCTCTCTGGCGCGCTTAGAGCTTTGCGCAATATTGGTACTCACCAAGCTTATTACCGCAGTTATCAGCGCATGTAGGGATAGAGTTCACATAGAGAGGATATTTGCCTTTTCCGACTCCACCGTCGCCTTATGCTGGGTTCATTCTTCGTCCCACCGTTGGGATACGTTTGTCGCGAACCGAGTGGCCAAGATCCAAGACGAGTTAGAAACGCGGAACTTTTATCACGTGTCCGGTACGGAAAACCCTGCCGATTGTCTATCCCGGGGACTCACCCCGATGCAAATAATGGACCACCCGCTTTGGTTCCATGGACCTTCTTGGGTTCACTTGGATCCCTCACAATGGCCGATAACCGATTTCGAACCTTCGTCAGTGTCACAACCGCCGGAAGAGAAGAGACACGCTCTAGTGGCGAACGTTTCGAGCGAGGTTTCTCCAATTATTGCTTTGGCGAACCGCTTGTCCTCTTGGTCGAAATTATTGCGTAGCGTAATTTACGTTTGTCGATTCGCGAAGCTTTTACCGCGACGTTCGTATGTCTTAGCGTCCGATTACAACTATGCCGAGTCGCTAGTATTACGTGAACTTCAACGTGCGCACTTCTCTGAAGAAATTACAAGATTACAATCGAATAGAGCTTGTAGTCGCGCCTTTCAACGCCTTAAGCCATTTTTACAGGATGGGATTGTAAGGGTAGGTGGACGCTTGTCCAACTCGCAGTTGAGTTTCGACCAACGGCACCCTATAGTTTTACCGCGTAAAGACCATATCATGAACTTATTAGTCGATTACCATCATAAATTGAACTCGCACGCTGGCCCCGACTTGTTGATGTCGATTTTGCGTCAGAATTATTGGATTCTTTCTGCACGTAGTTTAATACGCAATCGGGTGCACAGATGTATAGCTTGCTTTCGGGCACGCCCCAAGCCGTCATTTCCGGAAATGGCGGAACTTAGATCTTGTAGAGTAATACAATCGGTAAAGCCCTTTACGCACACCGGGTCTGATTTCGCTGGTCCGTTTAAGGTCACGCTCACTCGCGGGCGTGGTATAAGATCCACAAAGGCTTACGTCTGCATTTTCGTATGTCTAACTACTCGAGCGGTGCATATAGAACTCGTTGGTGACCTAAGCACAGCAGGCTTTATGGGTGCATTTAAAAGATTTCTATCCCGTAGAGGCCCTGTAAGTAAATTATATTCGGATAACGGTACGAACTACGTCGGTGCAAAACGTATTCTATCGGAACTACATGAGCTCTTAGCTAGCAAGTATTATAATTCGGAGTTCGCTCACATTCTAGCCGAGAACCGCATTGAGTGGTCTCTGAACGTCCCAGCCGCGAGTCATTTTGGAGGCAATTGGGAGACTAATATTAAGAGTCTAAAGAGTCACTTATACCGAGTAATAGGAGATCAAATTTTGTCCTTCGAAGAGCTAAGTACGGTGCTCGCTCAAATTGAATGCGTAATGAATAGCCGCCCACTTTGTCGTACATTGTCTAGTGACCCCTCGGAACCGCTGGCTCTAACTCCAGCACATTTTTTGAATTTAACGCCTTTAAAGTATTTGCCCGCCGCAGATATGGATGAGAACAGACTTAGCATTTCCACACGCTACAAATTATTAGACCGGTTAGTGCAATCGTTTTGGAAACGATGGAGGATGGAATACTTGCATACTTTGCAGTCTCGGCAAAAATGGAACACAGCGACTGAGCCTTTAGCTGTAGGAACTGTAGTTGTGCTCACTAAGGAGAATACGCCGCCTCTCCACTGGCCGTTAGGAATTGTCGAAGAGGTCTTTCCCGGTTCCGACGGAGTAATTAGGATAGCTCGCGTTAAGACCACGGTTGGGTCTTACCTACGTCCTGTTGTCCGTTTGTGCCCCTTGCCTCTTCCATAATTTAAATTAGCTTTCTAGATTAAAATTGTAGTTGAATTTAGGTAATCTTAGCGTTAGTTAGTTATTTGTTAGTTGATCTTAGCTCTAGTTGTTTTAGTTATTTTTTGAAGGAGATCCTTCAAGGGCGGGGGGAGATGGTTGCGCGGAAAACCATTCGTATTTGTTTTATTTGACGGTAGGCTGCCAAATCGGTTATCCCTTTCCAAAACGATATCATTCGTACCCTCCTATCGACACATCGGGGTGGTGGGGTGGGAGGGGAAAGAAGATGATTCTAGAACATCACGTAATCATCGGAACCGAGGATATATAAGACACGCGCGACCGACGCGTGGCCTCTTCCCGCCGCGCTCGCCGTTGAAACCACACCGATTCTCTCCCGACGTATCTCTGGGGCCCCAGAGTGTCTGTCCAGAGGAGGTTCCAGAAGTCGCAGTTATAGTGCTCGACCGCATAGAAGAAATATACCGGTGAGTCAATATCCAATATTATAACCTGCTTGATATAATCGTTTTAACCCGCTCCAATTTTGTGTTTTCCTAATCAAGCAGGATCCCAATCATCGATTTGGCAAATAATAGTTCGTTTTTTTGGGAAAAGCGAGTGCATTGTACCGCATATATAAGTGTAGAATCATTTTGTAGATACAGTCCACTTAGATTAATATCTCGCGTAATAGGTTTAAGGTTCGACCGGGGAACTAGACTTCGGCAGCCTTAAACACGTGGCTCCACCAGACTACGTGTACCACTCCTACTTGCCACGAATATTAGTAACGTTAATAAGATTACTATATATGTCACTGCGCCGTCGATCTGAGCTTAGTATCCATAGATAATATATACTATATATTTAATACTCAAAATATATAGGGCATAGTAACGTACGAGTGCTTGTCGAGGACCGATCTAGGTCAATTAATTCGCGCGCTTAGAATATATTGGCGTATAAACGACTTGACAGCCCAAAAACCCATGACAAATTTTGATTTGTTATTGTGTGCATTAGCTAGTGATGTACGTTTTACTTAAAACGACCATCGACAAATGATTCTTAAGGGAGCGGTAAAAACATTTAAAAAATAGTTTTGTGCACGAAACTGAAAAACTTTCGTCGCTAAACTATTTTATTACAATTTAACTGAATTTTTATCGTGACAATTCTAAACTAAATAAAAAATTAAAAAATTCCCGGGAATAAGCTGTACCTTTGCCATTTCCATCATTCATCACAGCCTATAGCTGCAATATGGCTCTATCACGTATAAAAAGGAAGATTTTTATAAAATTGACGTTCCTTGAAAGAAAGTTCGGACTAAAGATATTAAAAGAAGACGTGAGGGCGCCTGGTGGAGGCGTAATCTACCATTTAATTAGCTCCCGTAGTTATCTTAAGAGATGCGGTAGTTATAACCATAGATAATTATGTATGATGACCATAAACAATTATGTATGTGTTACAGTTGTCGACGCCAGATAGTCGACAGTTGACCCGGTTGCATTTCTTATAAGGCGCTTAATATAATGTTATTGCATAGAGTCATACACCAACCGTACAATCAACCAATCACACTGCACAAATACTCAACCCGTCATTCCCCACACCCGACACTCACATTCGTTGTTCGTTCTCACATTCCCATTCTAACCTCCGAACAAACAAGACACAAGCACCAAGAATAATGTAATTAATAAAACTAAATTCAATCGAATAAATCTTTGAGAAGATCTACGATATCTATCTTTTGTTCATCGCGAACAATAGTATTCTATGGTTATAACTACCTCATTATCTTCAGACGTAAAATGCCCAGATTGGCTACGGGTAGCAGCATTGAATGTGCGAGATGTCTGGTACTAACACATCTTGTCAAGCGTGGCGATATGATATCCTCCCTTCTAACGGAGAAGCCCATTTCCAGTAGTGATAATTGTGTTTGTGAAAATGAAGAAAAAAGGACAATGTATTAAAATTGTTATGCTTTTTTAGGTTTCACCACCAGTACGACAAATGCTTACATCTATTCCGGTACTGTCCTTATGCGTTCTGAGCTTCGGCACTGGTTGGGGTATATATTTCATTATAACTGCCGCTCCAAACTACCTGGCAAATGCTCTTGGATTCAGGATAACCGCAACTGGTTTGCTATCTGGTGTTATATATTTACTGAGATCTGTTTGCAATTTTTTGTTTGGATATCTCGGAGATATCACATTGAAGAAGAAGCTGGTGTCATTGCGACTGTTAAGGACGGTTGCGTGCATTTTTTCCCACGTGATACCAGGCATGTTGCTCTTGATTCTGGCGATACCTGGATTTTCGGCGTCTGTATATTTGACTATAATTATGACAGCCATGGCAATAAATGGCTTTGTAACATTATCAAGTGCTGCTAACGGATACGACTTGACGAACAATTTTATCGCTCAACTCGGTGGTCTAGTAACATCCCTAATAACGTTTGCTGGAATAATATCACCCATAGTTACAGCGTACTTTACCAAATACAACGAGGTAAGATTTTTTTAAATATTTAATAACTTTAATGTGTATTGCAAAGCTCCAAATTTCTAATGCATACTTCGTCGATGTATTTAACCTGTGTAGTCACCCTTACTTTTACCATTCACGTCATACAAATATGAACATAGTTATTCTCTATATCACATGATATTTTATTCATTTAGGCTTCTTTAACCTGAGTCAAAGACCTAGTCAGTAGGTCGTACGACTTCTCTGTGGAATAGTTTACCACCGGCGATTTTTCCGGACCGATACTACCTAGGGACCTTCAAGAAAAGAGCTTACTCCTTTCTAAAGGGCCGGCAACGCACCTGCAATTCCCCTGGTGTTGTTGTTCATGCGCGGCGGTAGTCACTTAACATCAGGTGAGCCGCATGCTCGTTTGCCCCCCTCTTCTGTAAAAAAGTCAAAGTCTAATAATCAGGGCAATCAGAGAAAAAAATAGAAGCGAACAATTTTACTTTTTACGTAGTCGTACAAGCATGTAGTTGGCTAAACCGTCAGCTAGTTGATTAGCCAGAGACATTTAATTTTGATATAGACTTTGTATTTTATTATGCTTTTATTGAATGTAATGTGAAATAAGTAACGGGTTTCTAGTTGTTTGTAGTTACTTTTATCAATAAATTTCTACAAATTTTATTTTACAGGTACATGTAGAAGCATGGCAGCCAGTTTTCTACGTATCATCATTCGTGCTCGTTGCTTCGGGTTTACAATTTATTATATTTGGCTCTACAGAAATACAACCGTGGAACGAAATCAACGACTTTACTTTTAATCGTTGATTATTGTTTACCTATTTTAAGTATTAATTATCTCTATGCCTCTCATTTTACTGACGTTTAATAAAAGAAAGAGGGAGCAACTATAAATAAATTCACGTCGATTTATGAATAATCCCGCAAATCTCAAGATCAAGGGAGCAAACCTACGGAGTGTTAAGTGAAATTTAATAAAACAACATAATCAATACAAAACATAGTTTTAATATTCATTATTTTATTTGATACAGAGGTATAATATATTATACACTATGTACATAAGAAATCTCTTCTATGAATATAATATTTTATTTAAAAACTCTTAAGAAATAAATGACACAAATAGATATAGTAACGTGCTGTCCAAAACACAACGACTAATCAATTAGTAGATTTCTGAAATTGTATAACAAGTCTAGTCCTTAAATTACAATTACAAAATTCTCAAAGAGCGTGCAGTTTATACAAATCTTATGAAAGATGAATCTGTACATAATACCATTATAAGTTTGCAAACTATTCTTACGTCTTTGGAATTACATCACCAAAACTCAGGTTATGGTCACACACTTCAGAGATTATCAGGCGGGATTGATAAAATTGCTAATAATTAGGTAGAACTAAAAACGTTCTCAATATATTAAAATAATGGTAATAAACAAAACCATTTCTAAGATTACTAAAGGTGAAATGGAAACTCATTAGCGACAATACGAGATGTATCTATTGCACCTTTACATACATAATTCGTCTTTGTGTTTAGAAATCCTTCAAACATAAGATTCTGATTCTGTGTCAGACTCCGAACAATCTAGGGCAATAACGTTCTTTACGTTGCCGTTAGGCGGCTCTCTGTACAAAGGTGGTACGGACTTTGATCGAGACGCTTTTTCATCTTTATTAACGTGTACCGGTTGAAATTTCTTCAATACCCTCTGGTACACCATTTTTCTAGGCGGTACTGGAGGCGGCACGTGCGGTGGTTTCTTATTACTATTATTGTTCTCCCCACTTTCTCCAACGTAATCTGGTTGAACTGACGTCGGGGTAGCTTTGTATATGTCCGATGGGAAAATGTTCGTGGATTTATCTTCGTGGAACATATCCCTTCTTCGATTATAAACGGAGGTGTATAATGGCTCGACGTACTGTGTTGTGTAATAGTTTTCACAGGAATTCTCACTGGCAGGCGAATCAGTTGATCGACTATTGTATGAGCTCTGCGGTTGGTACAGAGTGTCGTTGCTGCTCGAGTCACTTTGCAGAATTATATTCGCCAATGACTTGGACTGATTTAGTTTGTTGTTGTAATTGCGAATTCTTGATTTCTTGTTTTCCTCGGAGTTACTATTGGCGATGTCATCGACGTAGGGATATGAACTCTGCGTCATATTGACTGTAGTCTTTTCAATCTCTCTGCTATTCATAGATGGCGCTGTACAGCTTTTTGTGCACATATGCGCGGGATCATATCGCCTCTTTCGGCAACAGTTGACGACATTAATTTCGTAATTGCCACTGCGAGCTCTATCCGCGTTAGTGATGTGCCCTTCATCATTAACTTCTAGGCTCTTAGTCCTCGCTGCTTGACGAGACCAGTCATTTCTTGTAAAAATGGTGGCTGCCGGTGTTGTTTTCACATCCAGTTTACTTTGCGAGGAGTCGCCTTGCTTGCCGACTTGCCCGTAGATTTTTTCCGAAGCGCAATTAGTTTTTGTATTATAGTTCGTACTCTTTTTCTCCCAGCCGGTATATACGCGAGAGTAGTTTGTGTTGAGATTCGTTATTATATCCGATTGTGTTTGATATTGATTTTGCCTTTGTATATTCTCTGTGAAAGTGGCGAGGTCGTGTATGTTGCTATAAACGATATTCTCCTGACTAGACACTAAGTCACGTTTTGCGTCGATCGCTTCTTGTTTCGTTTCTAGTAAATTATCGGAGCTTTTTGCGCGGCCGAAATTTTTGTTGGATACGCTTTTCTCCACTTCTTGTGTTTCGGCGAACATGCTATATACTTTCGATGTCCGAGCTGCTTTCGACACGTTACTCCTTGGTGGTTTCTGTGGTTCTAAGCCGGTTATATATTTCGCTGGACTCTGTGCGTAAATATCGGCCGTTGAGCGTTGTATCGCCGATTTGGAAACATAATTTCTGTCATCGACACCGTTAGCAATGCTAATATTTATAGAGTTGTGAACATAACGTTCTCCAATGTATGGCATCATGTACAATTCCTCGTTCACGGTGCTGTAAATTTCAGCTTTGTTAGAGTATATGTTCTGTTCTCTTTGAACTACTTGTGGCAGTCCGTTGACGTTGGGATTGTTTGCATATCGTAACATTTTTGTTTCTTGAAGATTACACGTCGGAGTCGAAAGACTGTGTAGAATGTTACGAGGTGCCGGACTATTGCCCCCGTTGCTATTCGAATCGTCTTCTGAAAGCGTCAATCCCGAATCCCTGCTTAAAGATAATTTCTCTTTGCGTGGAGTTGACAACTCCATAGAATCAAGTGATATTCCAACAGAATGGAGACTGTCACTTTCTTCCGCACCAGAGTCAAGTAAGGCATTCGAAGATTCCGAACTACCGCTTCCAAGAAGACCTACAATTTGTGGTCCAAATAAAGCTTCCGCTTTTAAAACGAGAAGTTCCACAACCATCGGCACTGCTTTAGGAGCTTTATCACAAGGCATACTAGGCCATAATAAGCTTGGTCCTACACAGACCCCTAAGTTCATAGGGCACATGAGGTTAATGTTGGATTTCTTGGCGATTGCTTGTAAGAGGCATACGAAATACGTCAACATATTATAATGCGCCTTTGGGAGTTTCAATAGTAGAGACCGCACTGCTGCAACTTTCTCCGTTTGTGGTAAACCTGAAACAAAGAAATAATAATTACTTATGGCATACTACACAGAAATAAAAAATAAATAAATTTAGATATAGAATGTTCTGACAATATTTTAAGTTAATAGGAATGTTGATAACAGTGTAGTGACAGTGTAAGTGTATCCACTACCCCATATCGCCCCATGGGTGTCGTAAAAGGCGACAAATGGCAACTGAAACAGGAGATTGACAGCATCATCTTTCTGATAACAACTTAAAATTATAAAAAATTGCGTTTGCCAAACCGCCTGCTAAGAGTGGCAACTACGCGAAGATCCTATGAAGCAACCTACGGGGGAGCCTGTGCCTACGCTCAGCAGTGGACGTTTATTTTTTTATTTTTTTAATAAGGATAACAACAGTATATATCACTAAATATAATTTCAAATTTGCCTCAAGAATGCCAGTAACAATTATCCACATATTAAATATAAAGGTAAGCTAGGTACAATTATTATAATGAATAAAAACAATGGAAATTAAACAATTTAAAACAGCTTAATAAAATAACAGTAATAAAATTAAGTAGTTTAAGGTTTACTAACACTTAAAACTAACTTTATACACTGTAATGGAATGGAATCGGAATATTGATAATAGATGTTACTTAAAAGATTGATATTTTTAACTAATGTAATGTAATGATTTTGTGTACATGTTTCGATGATATTTGGAATACATTTCGAAACTTCAGGCAAACAGAAGTGTTATATACTGATTTCTTATGTTTACACGAATACTAAATAATCTACTAAGGAATTAGATAAGTTTATCAGATTGCAGTAAAACTTTGTCAACTTTTTTACCGTTTTATGGTAAGCACATATAATACGAACGAACAAACATTAATTTTATATATTAGATTATCTGCTAGTATGTTTTTCTTTCCATGGACGTTTTGTAATAATGTATATATTGCTGTCACAATTTTGCAAGGATTTTTAGTCATGACTGGAATTCTATTATTTTTAAATACCTATCTATTATTTTAAAACATTAATTGCGTGTGTAACAGACACAAAAAAAAAGTCTTTCTTATTTTATTGACTAATAATACTTACTGAGTACTTGCAACCAGGCGGGATAAAGCTCGGACACAAGTAAAGGTTGGGGCAAAGCTCGAAAGAATTCTTTTACTAGTGCAGCTAACAATAGCACAGGCGCGCGGTCCAATTCCGTACAACTCTCTGCCCACGGACCGAGTGTATCCAGCTGAAAGGAAAATAGGTAATTATAAATAAGACACCATTATCCCCCTCTTTTCCTACAATGCAGTAAAAGTTAAACGAACGTACGATAAAAATTTCTATAAAATCCAACCTATTATTACAATAATCGTTATAAAAATTGCAACATCTTAAAAATTCAGATAGATGAAAATGTGATTAAAAACAGTAAATATTAGTTATTTGATAGAATCGATCCTAGCTTTAGTAACAGGTCATAATTATTGTTATGTTCCCGTATCCAGTTTCAGCGTAAACACCAAATTACAAGACAAAACAACTGATCGCTAAAGGATTCCACTGAGAGGAGGCGATCCTGCATACACTATCAGGTTGCTTTTTTATTTTCCGGTTGTTAAGTTTCTTTTTTACTTTGGTATTCTGTGATTGCCGTGTAGTGGCAATTAAGAATATCAACTACCCCATATCTTCCGGCGGGTGGCGTAAAAGACAACAGAGGGAAGCAGGCAGTCGATATGCAGTCGCATCTTCTTCTTCCTTTCAGGTCTAGTTACAAAACCGTTTTCAGTGCTTAGAAGACTGCAATGCAGTGGACGATATATACGACAAGCTCGTGGAAACTGTCCATGCGGTCGGAGCTAGATTCTGCAAGGCCCGTCGAAGAAGAACACAAAACCTCCGATCACGCTCTTAATCTCATGGATGTTAGACGGGAGACGAAGCTGCAGTCTTCAACAGATTTGACAGCATACAGGCAACTAAACAGACAAATCTCCATATGCATGTGGCGGGACTTACGCAATATTAATACTGCTCGTATTGAAGAAGCGATCGAGTGGAACCAGGGTTCCAGTTTTTGCCAGAGATCTGTCAGACAGAAAGAGCCAAATGTCAAAGCTGAAGACTGGGTGTGGCAACATATTTTATACCTGAGATTACCTAAGATACGTGATATACCTGAGATTTTGACTGAGATTGAGAGGTTCTATTGGCAGCTGTGCACATCATCGTTGCATCTGTGAGTAAAGACCAAAAACCATGTCTTATCCGACACCATTCCGATGATATTCCGGATATCGGGTCTCAGCGAGATTAGATTGGCTCTCCAGTGCCTTAAAAACGGCAAGACCCCAGGTGAGAATGGAATTACAGCGAAACTTCTGAAAACTGGTGGAACACCGGTACTTAAAGTCCTTCAGAAGCTCTTCAATTCCATCCTCCATGGTGACACTACTACGGAGGCGTAGAGCAGAAGTGCGGCGGTCTTGTTCTTTAAGAAAAACGAAAAAGATCTCTTGAAGCACAGACCGATTTCCCTTCTGAGCCGCGTCTAGGTGATGTTTTCGAGAGTCATTACGAATTGTCTCGCACGCCGACTCGATGACTTCCAGCCTCCCGAATGAGCCGGTTTCCGAAAAGGCTTCGGCGAATACATCACTCAATTTCGATTTGACGACGATATAGTCCTTATGACAGAATCGCTGGAGGACCTAAACACTATGCTCAATGACCTCAATAGTGTCTTCCAACGGATAGTTCTTAAGATGAACGTAGACAAACAAAGATCATGTTTAATGTCCATGTCACACCTATGCCGGTAGTTGTTAGGAGCACTAAGCTCGAAATTGTTGACGAGTACGTTTACCTGGGACCGACTAATAGTCCGACAAGGTATGTTCAACTTCGACCGAGAGATTAATCGACGGATTCAACTTGGCTGGGCAGCGTTCGGGAAATTACGACCCATCTTCTCGTCATGTATACCGCAGCTGGCTCAGGACCGTGCTTTGTGGTATTCCTTGGAAGACGCCTATGTTCAGCAGTGGACTTGTGAAGGGCTGTAATGATGAGCATGATGATGATGATGATTCTGTGAGAGCGTAGTAGCGCATACCCATTCATGCCCCAACCGTAATATAGCTACAGCGTGGCTCAGTCGAGCCGTACGTCTACACTAATATTATAAAGAGAGAAGATTAGTTTGTTTGAATTGAATAGGCGCCGAAAATACTGGACCGATTTGAAAAATTCTTTCACCATTGGAACCCTACACTAACTGATGATGATGAACACAGGTATAGTATATTTCCAGAAAAAATTTGGGATCCTTATAAAAACTTTGTTAATTTAACTCACGATGTGAAAAAATACCAAAAAAATTCCATATACCGCGTGTGCTGCGGAAACCATTGACAATAGAGCAAAGTGATGTGCTAAAGTTTTATAGAAGATATCAATATCTACAAAAAAGTCTGCGATATCACATGTCTAACTATTACTGTTATGTCACATAATATATTTCACGCGGACGAAGTCGCGTGGAACAGCTAGTAACGTATAAATTTATAACATTCATAACAATTTTAGTGTTAAGTCGAGAAACGGTTAAAAATAAGTTATAAATGCACTGTTGTGCATTTGAAGTATCTTCTAATTATGAATTTTTATTCGATTTAATCGTAATAAAATAAACTTAATTATCGTTAAAAAAAATAGTCCCACTTACTTTATCTCTTAGCAATCTAAGCGCTTTTGCGTTTGCACTTCTTCTGAAGACGCCATGGGTAAGAGGAGCGACGACTCTTAATCTGCGAAGAGCTTGAAGCAATGCAGGAGGGGGAGTTCCGTTGCAGAGTCGCGTTAGAGCAACGCCGAATAAACGACCGCCACGTCTTAAGAGACGGAGGCCCCTTCCTGGCGTATTATTAATGCTGTAACAAAAATGTCTATTTATATTATATACTTTTAATAACATATTGTGTACTCTAATACTTTACATATTGTGTACTATAATTCTTTTGCGCGTAGCGCTGGGGGAATTGAGATGAACTTAACAATCCCTTTTCCAAAATAAATTTTCCAATAAAAACCGGTTTCTTGTAGACGATTATGATGTGTTTCATTACTACTCTCTCACCGTCTTGGTCCGATAGAACGGCAATTCGACATAACCGGAGTAAGATTACGCACAGGAACAACGGTTTGATGTGCTTTCCTAGGCACGGGGGTGTGGCAATACGAAGATTTTTTGCGAAAAAAACCCAATAGCTGATTTTACTGACTGACTGACGAGACAGTCAAATATCAAAAGTCTATTGATATGAACTGTGCATAGATGCGAGGTGTACGAATGTCTAGAACGTCTGCGAAATATCTCGTACATATAAAAGATATACTATTATTAAGCAAGGAGAAAATCCCAATAAAATAAAATACTTAAAAATTAATAGATATTAATTTGTTTTTTTTTTTACAAATTTTCGTACCAAACATATTGATAGATTCAAAAACCAATCGCGGTAGTTTATCTATCGAATTTGGTTTCTAACCAATTATCCAAACTCGGTAATAAGACATTTATTCACGCAGTCGTCAACTAAAACGTCCGGCGAACCTAAATATTCAATATGTAGATAAGGCAATAAAAGTATCTTAATATTTATTTGAACTGAGTCACTACTAAAACCCACACAGTCGTGACTTATACTTAAGTTTTAATGCAAATAAGTCTTTTTTGGTTAATGATAAATTACAGATTTAAAAATACATTAAAATTGTGATATAGGGAAAGGACTTATCCCAATGATTTCACTTAGTCCCTTAGTGAAAGCTTTATTTGAATATCCATTAATAAATAATCAAACTAAGCACATAAAATATTTTAAATAACGATATTATGAGACAGAGATGTGTTACGGATATAAGAGAATAAGGAAAAGGTACTGACGGATGACGGAGTTAAAAGAGTTATCAATTGTAAAAAGAAATAAAAATATATTTTAATCATAAATAAGTTCTTGGGGGGATACTTTCAACTTTTCTTTTTTCTTTCACCTTCTATCGATATGCAAAGCACAGAGAATGAGATAGGCAGAGAAAGATAAAGAGAGAAAGAGAGAGAGAGAGAGAGAGAGAGAGAAAGAGAGAGCTAGAGGTAGAACCCTTCTAACATGATATTTGGGATATAAATATACTTAAGTTCTGCTTAGGTAATAAACTGTTAAGATCTCGAACTTTATCGTTGATTTTTTTATTTAAAGAAATAATAAAGTTACAAACAGAAATGCAGATGTGTACAAGTTCCTATTAGCAAGTTTTAGAATACACGGATCCTAACCAGTTTAAAAAGCTCGTAAAGATACTTAGGTGCAAGAGAAACATGGGATATCAGGAAAATCTACACGAGCCTTTACTAGTTTCACTTGACAACCATGTTTGTTTTATTGGTTAATTACAATTTTTACAACTAGTATAAGTTACTTTTAACACTTCTATTAGCGAAGCATAAAAAGATAAAAAAGAATATTTACCTCTTCAGAACTTGGTTTTTCTTTCTCAGCTCAAAGACCAGTCCGCATGGGTTATTTTTGGCATTGACGTGCTCTAAGTCAAATCCGTCCTCGTTTGATAGTGTCTGTCTAATTCGAGACATCTTAAATAAAATAAAATAAAAAGATTTATAAAAGATATTTGAATAAGGTAAGTAATAAATAAAGTTTGACAATTTATATCTAAGTTATTTCACCAAATCTTAGTGAATATATTTAAATGAGTATAATATTTTTGGGATCTTACGCATTATTTACAAATTTATTTAAATAAATAATAAATGTATTTAATAATAGTAAAATCTATCTCATTATATGTAATCTGTGGCCGATGAAGGAAAAGGGGAGATCTCCCGCCGGGCAAGGTGTTCTGCCCGGGGAGCGGCCAACACTCCATGTGATAGTTCGGAGATGTTCTATATATACTGTTTCTGATTCGGAATGTTGATAGCGTGATTTAGACTTCGGTGTATTTCGATTGTGGCGCGACGACAGCGCCGCTACATCACCCCCTGCTCAGACCGGAGGTCGATAGTGCAGTCGAGTTGTCGACGAATGTGCAAGTGCCAGGAGATTGCCTTGTAGTCTGCGGTGAGTCGAGAAGAAGGCAAGTAATCTGCGAGAGTGCCGTGAAGCAGAGGCGAGCATTAAGGCTCAGAGCCGTGCCGAACACTGTATGGCGCAGAGAGTAGCTTGAAGGAACAGGAAGCATTATTATTCCAGTGCTGCGATGAACCTTGTGAAGCTAGATGGCTTGCAGGATATGAAGACTGCAGTTTATATCTGCTCGGGAGCGAATGGGTGGGGTATTCTATGACGATGATGAAGCTTGAAGTTTCCGAAGGTTGTTTGGTTGCGTGTTCAGATCACGTCGGATGGTCACCACTGTGGCCGTGAAGGAAAAGGGGAGATCTCCCGCCGGGCAAGGTGTTCTGCCCGGGGAGCGGCCAACACTCCATGTGATAGTTCGGAGATGTTCTATATATACTGTTTCTGATTCGGAATGTTGATAGCGTGATTTAGACTTCGGTGTATTTCGATTGTGGCGCGACGACAGCGCCGCTACAAAAATATAAGTAGTTGATTGTAGACAACGAAATAGAACAAGAAAATAAAAGTTAAAAAAAGTTAAAGTTACAGGCTATATACGTCCTACAGCTGGGTACAGGCCTTCTCTCATTCCTGAGAGGGTTTAAGGGCAAGGAAGTGTCCGCCGCGCTGCCCCAACGCGTGGTGGTGAACTGTACATGTCTTTTTTTAATTTTCTTTCCTATTTATCATTACATGCAGGTTTCCTCACGATGTTTTCCTTCACCGCCGAGCACGTGGTGAATCAGCACTCAAAATTGCAATTAAAAATTTCATTGAAGCCGGCGGGGATCGAACCCTTGCTCGCGTACTGCTAAATTTACAGCGGGCGCTAACCACCTGAGTTACCACTGCCACCAACAAGAAAATAGGAACGGAATAACAGAGAAATAGGTAATCTCAATGTTGAAATGAGTACATTTATGCGCGTTGTTGATTGTAAAATACCTTACCTGCACAGCATGTGGTCTTTCAATTCCTTGTAATGGTATAGGAGGTGCATCTCTAGTGGTTCTCACGTAAAGCGTAAAGTCATTCGGCGAGCCCCATCTCCCCTCGTGCTCATTCTCCCCTTCACCTTCTCCATCTCCACTCTCGTCTTGCGTTCCATTTTGCATTACGTGCAGTGCTTGACGCACAACACAGCGCGCATTCATGTCTGGACTCACCGATACAGTTTTACACTGCAATAAAAAGACTATATCAATCAACGTCACTCAGATGTTAGTGTTTTGGATCTGGAATGGTATTTTTTTATACTACAAAATATGATACCTATTATAACGATCATTAACTTTTTAATTAGTTGTTGTATTTGAGTTCGATTTTTGGACGTCCCAATTTTAACAAAACATCTAAAGTGTCTAAAGTATCTTTTTAACATTGTACTCGTAGTTTTCGTACGGTAGGGTTATTTTTGCCTCGCATACATATCTCTAGTCGTGATCATCTCAAATCAATGATGCGAAATCCATCGATGTAGAACACTTGTTTAGGTTTTCATTAATATTGATTTTGCAGTTTAAAAAAAATCAATTCGTAACCAAATATGTTTACGGTGAAGGCAGACCGAATCTCACCCACATCCATTTTAAACATGCCCTTACTTGGCAGAGGCCCATATTAACTAAAAAAGACGCGAATATTTTTATGAACATAAAATGATACTTACAAATTCAACGGAACTCGCTAAATCTTTGTAAAATATTTGAATATTTGTTGACTTTGGCTCTGTATTCAACTGTGTGTTTAAAGCGTTTTGAATTTTCCTGAAAGAAACAAGGATAAGATTAGTGTGACTTAAAATAATGTAAGAAATTTTAAGTTCAAATGCATTATACTTTTATTCGTCCCATACCTGTGCCAAGTATCTCTAGCGGCTTGCGTGGGATATGTAGCGAGGTAGTTAGCGACGCCAGTAGCAGTCGGCCACCCTATAAGGAAACCGGTGTCATCGCTTTCTGGCATTGAAAGCCATACTTCTGCCAGTCTCACACTCTCTTTTAATTTAAAGCAATTTGTTCCCCGCGATTTTCCGACTAACAGTAAGTCGCTGAAGAGGAACAAATGACGTTCTAGAGGTGGTGATGTCGATCCTAATGGGTTCAGCTGTACAGGGGCCTCCATAATGAACGTTCGTGGTGACAGCGAGTTGTTGTTTGAATTGACTGTGCCCCCAATGTCCAGGCTCGGTCTTTTACGGACACTCTTCGATTTCTGAAAAACAAAATAAAGCTTATTTATAAAAGAACTTTGATTACAAATAATTAATTTGGTTCAAAAATCTTTGGACCGATGTAAATTATTTTTTTAATACCAAAGGAATTAACTTTAAATAAAAATTAAGGCCGTCTTCAAAGAATTATTTTAATTTATTTTTAGTTCTTTACAATCGGCTTTTAAATTTTATTAAAAGTACATTTTTTACTCCTTCGAGTGGGCTGAGTAATATCACAACCTCATTTTCGTCTAAATAGTTACATTAAACACTTCATCCCATTTTGGTCAACCTTAGAAATGGATTTTTTTTCCTAAATTTATCACATCACTCTTGAAGTATAAACGATTTAATAAAAAAATATCTTTAAAATCGGTCTACAATTGCCATTAAATTTCAATTAAATCAATCTTATTTTTACAGTATACAGTAGCAATCAGTCGAATTGTAAACCTCCTTCTTTTTAAAGTCGGCTAAAAATTGGATATATTGTTGATTTTTAAAGTTTATTAGTTGCCTTTTATACTGTTTGTGATTATTACCTGATTTTATTTCTCAAGATTCTTCGTTATTTTTATCCCGTATAATTCATAATTCCTTAAAACAGCTAAATATGAAATCTCCCAGAGTTCAAACGATATGCTATAATCATTTGTCATTTATAAACCTTTGGTTTTTTATACATGGTAGAAACATGATGCAGCTATATTACGGTTCTAGCACGAATAGGTCGGTTCGACCGGGAAGGACCACGCTCTAAAATAGTGGCTCAATGCTGCTGTTTCGTATGAGTATAGAGCACCGGAGACCCTTTTTACTCAAAACGAGGCATTGTATCTTAGTCCTCAGGAGTGGCAACGCTGATGCGTTTCTTTTGATTCTTAATCGGGGACAGATGTAGAAGTTTATGGGCGGTCTACTTCCCATCAGGTGGACTGTGTTCTCGTTCTATTATTCTATAAAAAACTTATTTGTGTTCGCACTATACTTTTTACACTTTTCAAAGTGTAAAAAGTGTAAAATGAGGCGTAAAATGTTTCATGCGAATAGAAATAATCTTCATCATTGACATGGGTATTATAGACATGGCATCCAAAGGGATGTTTATTCCTGCTAGATTCGGAGTACACAAGATCTTCCGACCTTTGCCTTCCTAGCCTCCTATGCACTCATGGGAGGAAGTGGAGTATATTTAATAAATCTATAAATATATTAATAATATAGTATACTTAATCAATCAATAAATACATTAATAATATAGTATATTTGACTGTTCCGTGTCGCAGTGGCTTAGCAATGAGTTAGGGTAATGAGTGCCGCGGGTTCAAATCCCCAAGGAAACCAGTATTTGTATGGCCTACAAATAATTGTACCGTGTCTGGATGTTCGGCCTTGTGAAATGTATCTACATAAACTGCCTCTATGAGCTTTTTTTACATTTCTTTTAACATTAATGTTGTAATAATCAAATCTTAACAGCCAGTGAACCTTTATAGTATAATTTAACGAAGTACACGTATAGCCGTCTCTTATTCGTGTTAAATTAGTTCCTCAGGGTTCGGATTTACGTCAATGAACGTTATTAGCGTATCCAAAAATACTTAGTATTTGACGCGGGACACGCTTGAACTATTCTTGGAAGGACAAGCGCGTCTTGGTCTAGATTTTCGTAAGTTTTTCCGCAAAATCTGTGAACTATAGAATCTTTAAAGGTTTATTTTATTCTTTAGATAAATTTTGTGTTAATACTCTTCGCCTACTGTAAGCTTTTTTGCTCCATGCTTTTGAGATCTACGATAACATGGCAGGAGCCTCTACAAAAAGTAATAATGTGATTAGTCGTAATTTGGTTGGTATTACTAACAAATTTAATACCAAACGACTTCAAATAAACAAATTATTTTTGGCATTACAAGAATACAGTCACAGATATTGTGTGGTACCTTATAGTTCACGTCAAGGAATATGAGTTAAGATTAGATAACAATCATTAATAATTAAAGAGCAAGAAAAAGTTAATTTACCCCGTGCTCAGTAATAAAGAAAACGGCGTGTCTTGTTAACACTTCATATAAAATTCGAATATAAAATTGGATATTTGACACTGCATGATATTATTCAATGATATTATTAATTTAATTTAATTGCTTCTTTCAGTTGTTTCTCTAAAAATAGCCCATATTTTCCAATTTAACTTAAATTCAATTTTTAGTAATATAAAACATATACATTAAATGATTATTTAATAATAAAAACTATGATGTTATTAAACTACTAAAGTACTTCATGTAAAGTTTATCTTGATAACACTTAAAAAGTAAACCTACGACGTCGGAAGATGCTGACTGGAGAAGCGAGGTAGATTCTTTAAGTATTATAAATAGCCTTGCAAACATGACGGCGTAACGTTTGTAGGCTGCTACTTTATTTTACCGTAATGCTAGTATAGTCCAGAGACGGTCATCAGTGTTTAGTTACCTGTGCGTGATGCGAGGCGAGCGCGGCGGGTGCATCTGCATCGTGCAGCGCGAGGAAGTCGTGAGGGAACAAGTCCTGCACGCGCTCCAGGTCCGAGAGGCGCGCCGCCCTTCTACGTCCACACCCGCTACCGACCAGCCGTTCATACTGCGCGAGGCGCTCGATCTGAAAAAGATAAAACATTTCAATATCAACATGATAATGATCGAACATGTATGCATATATATTACGAACTAGTCCGGCAGACGTAGTTCTGCCCTTTCTTTTTGGTGGGACCATGAATTTTATTTTATATAAACTTTGCTATAGACGTATCATGCGTATAGTTAAATCCTCTTTATGACTAGGTTATGGTGTTACCAACAGCAACATAAACTTAAAAAAAAGAAAAACATAAGCCTTCTTTTTTAATATATGTGATACACAATTATTTACTACCTACATACCAAATTTTCTTATGTAGGTAATAAATTTATTATGTTTTATGTAAATCCGCCCAAATATTTGATCAAAGTAGTCTTTGCATGAATCGTGAACATACAATTTTTCTAGATTTATTATATTATGATACCGAAATCTTTTTTTATGTAAAAAGAAACAAACAAATAACTCGTTAATTAAAGCCACAGTCGAGCGTACAGTTCACCTGATGGTGAGGGCAAACAAAAAAGGCCCCAGATCCGTTATTACCCCTAAAAACAAAGTTATAGCAAGCAAAGATTCGTTCAGTGTTTATTTTGCTCCATATATTGGAGATAACATTTTTTTTAGTTTTTGAGTAGCAAGCACATTCGTCGGACTTTTAAACCCGGTAGAAGTTTTATTTTTAAAACTTCTACCAACTACCTTCTAACAAGAAAGGTACCCCCAAAAAAAAGGAACCCCATCTGGTGTTGATGTTGTTTGCTCGATATAACAAAAATGTGTTCTCATTATTCCGTTTCTCAAAATAATTTTATATCCGAATATCTTTTAACAGTTACGTAGATTTAAAATTTTGTAATAAGTGAAATGCATAAAAGCTGTTGGTGTTCCGAATAAAATAAATAAATAAGTCCATAAGTGTAAGTAATAAAGGTCTAAAGTCTGAAGCAATTAACTGCGCAAGGCGGCGAAATAACGCTGCTATATAACGTGTAAATTGTGCCACAAATATGTTGACGCCGAAGATACGTTGAAAATTATTGAAATTGTTTATATATATATATATATATATATATATTATAACAGTCCTCCTTTTGGCTATCACAACCTTTTGATTGATTATGAAAAAAGAAAACATTCAAGTTTTCATTCTTAACAAATAATAATAATTGAATATTGAAAAAGTTAAAAGCTCGGTTGCAGCTTAACAATACTTATTACAAACTATATAAAAGTACATGCCGTCACGGATGTTATAACAATTTCAAATTAGAAATATGTACTGCGCTTCATTTATTATAAGCATTGTAAAGCAGCGATCCTAATCTAAATTCTAATAGCATCGTACATGAACTGTGTCCCAGGGTGACTTCCCGAGCGTCTCACGACGCCTCTGTGCTCTCGGCCATGTCGCCGACAATGCTACTGTATGTACATATAATAACAGGACAAAACACCGTGGGATCCCTGCCAGCTTTACTGTTTTGCATCAGTGTTTGCTACCTACACTTGATAAGGGTTGCTGTTCGAAAAAATTATACGATATTTTAAAAGAAATATTGATTCAGATTCCAATTTTTATTCACCTCTCCCCGTTTCTTAGTTATGTTATGCTTTGCTTCGGTTTGTGTACACTGTTTCAGTAATAAACTTGATTTGGTCAACTTAATTTGCTAAGATACACACTTAAATGATACGCCTAACTGTATAACCCTCTTCAATACCAATTTAACAAATTACTCTTTAACCCTCAATGCGTTAAAGATCTGACAAACAAGAGAGCTAAGAGCTAAACAAGAGAGGGCAGGAGTCGTGTATGCCTGCGACGCTGTGGGCCTTTGATTCGTATCTCTTACGGATCAAATATTTGTATGACCTACAAATAAAGTTTGGATGTTTATTCGTGTCGTACTTATTTTGGTAAAAACAATAAATTATAATAATAGTACCTTGTAGTAGCGGTACGTAATACTATTATTTATTCTGTAGTAGCGGTGTAAAAGAATCCACTACGCCATATCGTCCCGTGGATGTCGGAAGAGGCGTCAGCGGGTAATTAAAAAGGAGATGAGTAGAAGCATATTTCTAATAAAAACTCAAAATAATAAAAAATCGCTTTTGCCAACCCGTTTCCCAAGCAATATTAAGGGCAATCCTTACCTTCGGCAGTATACTTTTGATAGGTATAATGGATAAATTATAAATAATGGTGTATATCCAGTTTGAAGAGCACTAACCATCATTGCACAACTGTTACTACCATCACAGCTAACATTACCGCCCCACCAATCACCACTGCCACGCAGATACATACAGTGCTTAGCAGTTGATTTACTCGTAGTTTATTATTGTATGATAAATATGTCGTATTTTGAGAAAGTGTCTACTTAATTATGAACTTTACGATCATGTAGAGATGATGAAACGGATTTTACACCATTTGAAAAGATATAAAACCCTATCCTCTCATTGTTGATTTTACAATAAAGAAGTTGAAGCGCTAATTACTTATTAAATAAAAATGTCTAAGAATGTCATAGATTAAAAAGTAGCAAAATTTCAGATTAGTATCTTTATTAACAGCGCCTTTAAACTTAAATTAATTTAAGTTCTAACCTTTTTGTTAACAGCGCCTTGAAATCTGTTTTAAATATATTAAGTATATTTCCTGCCGCATCGTGTCTATAAAGACATTAAAAAACTTAAAGTTAAGAAGAATAACAATACTAATAATTATTTTATTGCTTCGTCGAACAAAAGACCTCAACGCGTTAATTATGAATGTAAATAGGTATGCTTAAATTAATAAATATACACTTTTTAGAATAAGTGTATGATTTGGCCCATAGATATTTACATCTATTGTCGCTTTTTTTTTATAGAATAGGGTGACAAACGAGCACACAGTCCGCCTGATGGTAAGAGGTTGCTGCGGCCCATAGACATCTACATCTATCCTCAATTACAAATCAAAATGCAGATGCGTTGTTACCCGTGAGGACTGAGATGGAATGCCTCGTTTCCAGTAAAAAGGGTCTCCGGTTCTCTACACTCACCATACGAAATACAGCAGCATTAAGCTACTATTTCACGCTGGTATTCTGTGAGAGCGTGGTCCTTCCCCGGTCGAGCCGACCCATTCGTGCTACAACTATACTACTAATATAACTGCAGCATGGCTCTACCACGTAAAGCGTGGTAGCGTGGTAGCGCTTAAGAATCAAAATGCGTTGTCACCCCTGATGCAATTGTTCCCAATAAAGAGTCTTATTTATTTATTTATTTATTTTATTCTTTATTGCATCCTTAAACAAAAGAATACAAAGGGCGGACTTAATGCCTTGAGGCATTCTCTACCAGTCAACCCATGGAGTGGTGAGAATTTGACGTAGGTGCGGCAATATAGAATAAGAGAACACAATAAAAATGATAATTAACTACATAATATATACAAACTAATAATAAATAAACTATACATATATGATCTATCCTTACATATATACAAATATATAAATAAATGGATATACATACAAGTATACATATTTAAATACATACATAATTAGTATATACAAATGACTATGAATATATATACGTCTTTGGTCTTTTACACAAACTATACGAAATACTTTAACGCTGGTGTTCTGTAACAGAGTGGTTCTTACTTGGTTGAGCCTATCCATGCATACTGCAACCATAACATTGATATAGCATAGCCCTTATACCACGTATGAAATTTAATGAAATTCAAGCTGTGTGAACTATTTGGTTTCTTATTGTTCTTGTACCTACCGCTACCGCTCAAAATTTTCTGTCTGTCAAAAATATACTTGTAAGTATTACATAACGCATGTGATTATTAAATTGGTAAACATTTTAATAAATATTCAAGGAGAATATCTTACAATTGTTATTTGTATAAGTCCATTAAATTACACCACGCGTATAATTTATAATGTATAATACATACTTACATTTAAATTTGAACTTAAGTTAGATTAAGATATTATAAACAGATTAATATAAAGAAGACGAGCGAAAGTAAAGTTTTTGATATATTATTATTTTTCATATCAAACTATTCAGTAAAAATATACATACAAAGCTATCTTAATTGAAAATCTCCACGTCAATCCATTGTAATGCGAATGTTCACTATTTCATCAGTCACAAAAAAGTGACAAGATATATTGTCTTAAGGATCAACGTAGTAGATGGGTTATAGTGCTAATTACACGTCGATGTGAGCACAATCTCTAGATCGCTCGCCATGACTCGCGCACAAGCTGGCGAGGTGTCTTGACACTTAAACCGTTATACGATCTTATAAATTATAATCGAGCCGTTAACATCAACTCAACATGCTTGATAATTTACTTGATAGAAATTTATTAGACAAAGTACTGTAATGCCTTTCAATTTGTTTTAAGTTTTATTGATGGTTGAATATCGTGTATCTGGACACCGTAACTATAAATATGGCGTGCATTATAATTAATAATTTCGTAAGTGTAATTACGGTATCTGAGTGGATCACAGAAATCTAAATAACAATATTAATATTATTAAAAATAATAATATTATTTAGATTTCTGTGGCGTAGATTAATGCATGTGTTGCGACATTATTATCAACCATATATAGTAGATGTTATATAAAAGAAAGTAAAAATTACTTTGCGTACTTCCGCCCAATGAAATAAAATGATGTGTCAACATAGCACTTATGCAATAAGAACGGAGAAAGAGCTATAAATAGTGCTAGGAATATATCGCTTGCATGTTATATACAGACCTAAAAATTTGAAATCTTTTATGTGAATAAACATTGGCTCTAGATACATAAACATTAGCAAATTCGCTTTCGGTAGTCAATGGACTAAGTGATCGCGCAAACTGCTGTAACTTTGATAAAGGTAACGTAATTTATATTAAAGTAACATCCACATTGAAAATTTCGTTAATACCGTCTCAAGTATACTTAAGATTTAACGAATATATTATACCTTTCCTGTTTCTGATATC